TTTTAATTCTAAAATTTTATCGTCACTTTATATAGAGCACAAATTACCTATAACAGATGCGAAAGAACACCGAATTACGCGTTCAGGTTTCTGTGACCTTCAGAAAGAGTTCATAGACAATCCGCATCAATGTATAGTTTGGGTTATTATTTGTTTGATTGAAAATAATCTGCACCAATATGTTATCGAGGCATACAAAAAGGTCCACAGACTTCGAGACATACGAAAAATCAAGTCCATTTAGCGTGTGTCGCAATTTTCACACCTTAAAAAATTACTTTTTTATAGCTATAGCTACAACTGCAGCGACTATGAAAAAAGCTGTGTGATTTTCATAGAAAATAAGGGCACCTGTAATTCATTTGAGAATGTTATAAATCGCTAAAAGAGGTTTCAAATCTCTTGGATTTCTATTAATATTAAATAAACTTTATTAAAAATTGAACCACAGCTCTTACCTTCAAATATAGCAAATAAATGCTCTAATTTCCATTTTTTCAGAAACTCCTTTAAATAATCCATATATCCTAAAATTTGTCCATAAAAAATGACAAATGCAACGATCACTAATTTGTTATACGATATGCGTTTAAAAAGCAAATTATGCAAAATTCCAAGTGGAAAATTCCAAGCAACAAAACCCGTGCGTACTATGATGTGCGACCTATGAAAGAGCCGACTGATTATATATACCGTCCTTCGTCATCGTCTTTGCGTGTCGTTATTATTTTTCATCAAAAGAGTATTTAGCTATTGGATAAATGGCCATGTTTGTTGAATGAAGTACTTCCTAGCGTATTTTTCTTATTATCTTAAAAGGAAGTAACTTGCACTTGGTTGAATGAAAATAGATTCAAGAGAAATTTTAGAATTTTTCAAGAGAACCAGTTTTCTTGAGTTAAGAGAGTTTTTCTTCAGGCAAAATATTTTCTTTTACGCTAAAATAAATTCTCTTGTCACTAATTTTTTTTTCAAGAACGATGACGACTTTAGTTCAAGTCTATCTTTTTTATCAGTGCTCTATTATAGATACAGGACAACACCGGTATCAGGTCTAAGGAGAGACCAAGTTAAAGAGGTGGAGAAAATGGAAACAGATCCTCCAGCCTCCACCTCACGGGTTCCTCAGCCGGAGGCAAGCTCCTCGACTGCGAAGGGTGACACGGAAGGATGTGTACCCTCGGAGGAAGAACTGTTGTCAGAGGAGGATGGGAAATAGCTGTCCCCTCTACAACAGGGGTATGATGGGTTATAGACTGTGTGATGACTCAAGGAAGGGGGGCACAATAGATCTTTAATGTCGCAGTAATTAACCCCCGCCCCTCTAAATTCTACATTCCCATTCCAGGTTACAGATGGAGTCTTTTAGTTTCTTCAGTTCCATTTTAAGTTGGTTTCCACTTGTAAAACAGAACAGTTCTGGTCCAGTTAGTGGAGTGTTCGCTCCTTCTAGCGTTCTTCGTGTTCTAGCTAGATCGTTTGCTTTTTCATTGCCTTCTATCCCTTGGTGGGCTTGCACCCGCAGAATAGGAGGACTTTATTTTCTTTGTTAATTTGTTCAACTACTCTGGGCATTCTTTGACCAACCTCGAAATGACAGTTACTGAGTTGATCGCTTTTAGTGTGCTTGACTATCGGATAAGATAAGGCTATTCCCTGTTTCCGATAGTTCCTATCGATGTATACTCTAGGAAATAAATTCAATTCAGACAGCAGAATTTAACATTTTGTTTTGAATATTGAATTCAATATGTTTCAGCTAATAATCAAAAAATAATATACTTCAAGTATAAAACATATAAATATGTTATGGTAGTATCAATGTACGTCACGTAAAATAACAAAATTAAACGAATTCATTGGATTTTCTCATCACTTGCCAAAAATTTAGCTATAATTGTACTTGTAAAGCAATGTTGTTTGAATCCAGACAAAATTTAAGCCTTCAAACACATTGTTTAATACCGACTATACGATCGAAATAGCACCGGCATCAGAGTTGGCTTCAAAATAACGATTATTGTCATTTTATATATAAATTTTTATGGTAAATGTCAGCGGTTATTAACTGTCAGTCTTACAGAGGCAATGTGACTGATTCAGTGATACCGAACGAATATTATGAACCTGATAACACACGTTTTCAATCAATTCGTATTTTCAGTAAAAGTGAAAGCTAGTGCTACTTTCGTTCATTTTGACTGAATACTGAATAATTCATTTTGTATTCATACAAAATGAATTGTGAGAATGTATTTTTTCGTTCAGTTTTCCAAGATTTGAGGAATATTTGAGAGACTTACAAAACTAATTCTTTCAATATAGTTCGAACAGGCCAGACGCACTTTTGCTTCCATGAAAGCCCTCTTCTCCAGCCGAGATCTAAGCCTCGAACTGCGCATACGTATGCTGCGTTGCTACATCTTTCCAGTATTTCTCTACGGCTCTGAGAGTTGGACACTCAATCATACATTGGTAAACCGCATAAACGCTTTTGAGATGTACTTGTATCGTGGTATGCTGCGTATATCCTGGATGGATTGAGTGACAAATGAGGAGGTACTTAGGCGGATGGGCAAAGATAAAGAGCTCCTATCAACAGTGAAGGAGAGGAAGTTGCATTACGTCGGTCTCATAATGAGGGGTGATCGATACGAGGTGCTCAGACTGGTCATTGAAGGCAAAATTGAGTGCAGGAGATCAGTGGGAAGAAGGCAAAACTCTGGATCGCCAACCTCCGAAGGGAGACGGCGGCGGCGACCTAAAAAGAAGAAGAAGAACACTTCTAGAAGTGCCTTAGAATTTTGATGACGGTGAGTGAGTCGCTGGCGAAGTTAAAGAAATGTTACTAAAAAAATTCATAATCCTTGAATTGTTGTCGGTGTTGTCGGTTTGAATATGAATATTCATATTCAAATAAAGTCAGAAGAGACGGCTTCGATTAATTCTAGTTTTCTACCTTTTTCTCGACAGGAAAGTCAGTTACCGGTAACGGTTAGACAACTTTTAATCCATAAGGATATTTCGAGATTTTTCATTTTTTTCTTTGTTTATAAGCTTAAAGCTACCTAAATTTCAAATGATACTAGATATTTTGGTAATCTAGGCAGCCATAGTATGTCCTCACGTGTAGTTAAAATTAATATTCTTGCTTTATCCACAACGAAGTTACAGGAAACTTAAAAATAGAAAATCTCCTAATCAAGATAAAATACCAAACGAGCTAATAAAAAACGCAGGCACGGCTATCATAGAGGAATACACAAAACTGTTTAACATTATATTACAACATAAGAAAATACCAGAAGAATGGAAACAAAGTATAACAATACCCATTTTTAAAAAGGGAGATAAAACAGACCCAGCAAACTATAGAGGAATAACATTACTGAGCACCTCGCTAAAACTTCTGACTAAGATCATTGCGGACAAAATCTCCTCAATAGTGCCAATAAGCGAGGAACAACAAGGATTCCGAAGAAACCGATCAACTACCGATGCACTATTCATACTCAGGCAACTAGTTGAAAAATCCTTAGAATATAACTCTCCAGCCTATCAATGTTTTATAGATTTAACAAAGGCCTTTGATAGAGTCCAACTAAAAGACATGATCACCATCTTGGAAAGCAGTAATGTCTCGAAAGAACTCACAGAACTTATCAAGGACTTAAGCACAAGTACAACAACCCAAATAAGAACAAACTTTACCTTAACGCAGCATCTTCGAACTACAAGTGGTATTCGCCAAGGCGACAGTCTCAGCCCTCTGTTATTCAACACAATCATGAATCAAGTAATAAAAACCGTCAAGAATACTGTATTAGGATATCGAATGGGAATGCATAAAGTAAACATATTATGCTATGCCGATGACGCAGTACTTATTGCAGAGTCAGAGGACGACCTCCAAAGAATGCTACAAGCTTTTAACAGACAGACAGAAAAACTTAACATGAAAATTTCCACAAATAAGGCCAAATGCATGACCATTACAAAGGAGCCTCTACGGTGCAAATTGATAATAAAAAACAAAACTATTGATCAGATAATGTCATTTGAATACCTCGGATGCAAAATTACAAGCTCAGAATTCCTGGAAGAAGAAGTAAGGAAACAAGCCAATAAAGCTGCCGCAATATCAGGACATCTTAAATATCCCATATGGAAAAACAAACATTTAAGTACAGAATGTAAGTCAAGTATATACAAAACCTGCATACGACCAGTGATGACATATGGTGCGGAAACCAGAGCTGAAACATCAGTAACAAAGAGAATCCTACGAACTACTGAAATGAAGACCTTAAGAATGATAACTGGATACACATTGAGGGACAGACGTGCCAAACAAACGACGTTGTCCGATGGATAAGGCAGAGAAGAAGAGAATGGAACCAGCATGTCAATAGAATGGGCCCCGACAGAATGGCCATAATAATTCGCAACAACGTACCCCATGGCAGAAGACCTACTGGACGGCCACCTAAACGTTGGCAATACAGTTGGCAGTCAACCTCGCAAGAGTTGCTTAGACGAGGAGGAAACCGGAACTAAACAGGCGATACGCCTTCTAAAAGAAGAAGAAGAAGAAGAAGAAGTTACAGGGTGGTCAAAAGTGCCGCTAATACCTTCGAGAGAAGGATGGTACGGCTGTGCTCGACTTGGCGATATGTAGACGGGTTAATAAATTTCAAATAAAAATGAAATTATATAAAGTCAGATTGTGTTTTAAAAGTGTCTAAAAATACTAACTGAAAATACAACCAAAACTAAGCAAATTTACTTATCCACGTAGGTTATAAAATTTAAACGATGTAATGAAAATAATTAAAGTACACAAATCAATAGGAAAGATGAAGGCAACCTGATGCTGTTTTTTTTTGGTCATTTGTAACATATCAGTGTCACATTATTTTTGATATATTTGTTATCTAAAGCGATATTTTATATATTATGTTGTAACATAGCGTTGTTATTGATCGTGTAATTTCTTTAAGATGAATTTCCACATACCACCTGAGACGAGAAAGAAGTACTCCCTGGAACTGTCCAGTTTGACGGACCTTTTCAAGCCTTTGCCGTTGGAAAGGAAGGCCTCGGTTCGCAGTTTCTACTGGAACATAGTGGACGATGCGGTAAATAGGCCTTGCAGAGCCCATTTTTCAGTTTGGCCGCTTATTTTTGCTCGATTTTTGACTTGCTTAGTCAAAGCTTGATTGTTTTGAGTATCTTTATTTTGCTCGGATTTTAGAATAGATGTAAGGCTTTTTGCAGAAAGAGAAAAAACAGGTATATGTTGTTTGTCATTTTGAAAATTATACAGGATGTTTCAAAAAACATGTGCCATCTCTCGTGGGTAGATTCTTCACGTAAAAATAAGATTTATTTTTCATATCAACATAGGTCCGATTCTGCTTTGTTTCGTGACTGTAGGGTGTTAATTTTTTTTTTTTTCGATTTATTATAATTTTCTTCCAAGTACTTCTAGCGATTCTAATGAAATTTTGAGGGTAAAAGTTACTATAATTGCGACATATTTTAATGCTAAAAAATTGTCGACGTATTCACCATGTGCATATAGGTTATCACTGGAATATTCTTGTGAGCGAAACAGAGTGTAAGCCGTTTAATGCGGATTAAAAATTGTCTCTTGATATTTTGTCGATTTCGGCCTCCTTGATGAGATAAACAGAATTTTACTAATTTGCCTTGATCCAAGTCTACAGCAACCTTTAAACAAATTTAATATAATTAACCTGCGAAAGTGCTAAATAAGTACTCATTGATTCCTCATCAAAAAATTTGAAAAAAGTTCCTATAAACATGGGTAATAGATAGTTTTAAAAAATTAGATAAAATATTTAATTTATTAATCTTATTTTTATTAATTGTGATTAATAAAATTGCATTTATCTCATCAAGGAGATCGAGATCGACAAAATATCAAGATACAACGTTTAATTAATTTCATTAAACGGCCTATACAATTTTGCTATCAAAAGAATCACAGTCAGTGGCGCACATATGTTTTTTTTTTCGAAAAATTTTCCAGTGATAACCCATATGTGTTAAAATATATGTAGCACTTCTAGTAACTTTACCTCAAAATCTCGAATTCGAATCACTTAAAGCAATTGAAAGAAAATTAAAATAAATCAAAATAACCAAGAATTTAACCTCTTGTAGATACGAAACAAATCAGAATCGAACTTATTAGTCAAAGAGCTGGCAACATAAAAAACCATGCCCCTTTCGCGTTGTCTGTCGGCATTTTAGCCACGAGAAAAATGTCTGTCAACAAGTTTACACGTTTCCTAATAATAAATAAAAGCTATTTGGCAATTATAACTCGTGTACCTTGTAATATTTTTAGTGTCAAAATTTCACCCTTTTGATTGGCCGCTCCCGCTTTAAGCCCCGAGAACGCGCTGGCAGACATGACTATTTCTCAATGGCTACACCAAAGGATACTTCACAAGAAAAATTAGCCATGTAACGATGATAAGGTTTTTTATACAGCCAGCTCTCCCTCTATATGTTGATATGAAAATTAAATCTTATTTTTATGTAAGGAATCTGCCCAGGAGAGATGGCACACGTTTTTTTAAACGCCCTGTATATTAGTACAGTGGCAAACTAAAAATAGAATAACTCCACTAAAAAAATTAAACCTCATTCTGAACCTCCCCATTAGTCATTTTCAATTATTAGTAGAAAAAAATAACAAAATTTTAGCTTTTCCACTAATTATACCTCAAAGTTTACGAGAGATGTCATTTTGGCTTTTTATTATCTTCCATCAAGAGAAATTGTGGTTAAAAATCAAAAGTTGATCGTTTTATATAAGCTCAATATTATAGACTTTCTCTATGGATACAACAGACTAACGCAAGTTGTGGCTAGGATGTTTTATTAATTTTAATTGTGTTTTTTAGACATTGTGAATGATCGTAATCTAAAAAGTAATTGAAACCACTAATATATTCCTCTAATTGCGAGGTTTTGAATGAATCTTAAGAGTTTTTTTAAGAAAAACATATAAATCTGTTTTTTCCTTGCATGAGTCCATCTCCAACATCGATCGTTGTTATTCAATTCATATTTTTTATAATGCAAATTCATTATTCAAAGGACGTCATACTGGATGCATTCGAATTCATATTTATGTTGCACGAATTGTATGTTATTTTTTTTCTCTCTGATATATGGAATATCGCTTTGGCCAGCATGAAACAATTAAGATTACAAATTATTACTTTGTTTTTTTTTGATAAAACATACAGGTATGTGTTTTTTAATGCCCGACACTAACCTTCAGGCTTTTTTATGTTTGGATTTAAATTAACAATGGACTAATTACTGAGAATTGCATTTTTTTTGTATTGTGTAAAATATATTTCGTTTTCAGGTATTAGTCCAGTAAATGAAGGTTGTAACCCCGGCCTAATTCGTCAACTGGGACTTTTCAGGGGGATTGTAGGTATACCTTTTAGGGTTTAGTTTTACTGAAAAAATTGTAACACCGTACTCGGTCAGTTTTGGCCAAAAAAAATTGCCCCAAATGGCCTAAAAATCAGTTTTTCGCAAATATCTTCAAAAATATACAATTTCCAATTTGTTTTTCTCGGAATAAGAAATGAAGCTTAGGTAATTACCTACAAAAATGACCCTTCTCATTTTTTACGTAGAATTAGTAGTTTTCGAGATATTCCGCCTCGAAAATCCCTGAAGTTTTAACGCTTCGGAGATATATTTCATTAGCGTATCATTGATTGATAGGACAAATTGTTCAATAACTCGGCTAAAATTTAATATTTTTAGATGATTCAAATTTCTTTTAAAAGGTAGAATCAACAGCTATTACATTTTGTAACTTGTTTGGATTTTGTCATATTTTATAGTAATAAAAAAACCGGGCAAACATTCCTTGACCCAAAAATTTTCAGATTTTTACAAACTTCTTCATATTTTTACTAACAACAGCTTATTTGTCAAGATTTTTTTTAACAGTTTAGAGCTTAGAGCCTTGTTAAGCAACTCAGAAAATTTGAAGTATTTGTTTAATCACATTTTAATAAAAAAAATATTCGTGAGTGGCTTTTTCCGGTTCTTGGGGATTTCCGGAGTGTATCGTAAACCAAAGAAAATTGCATAATAACTTTATAAGTAACAAGTCAGTGCGAGTGTCAGAAATCACAAGTATTTTCATATACAATAATTTTATAAGTCATGTTCTTTTGTAGTAGGTAATTTCGAACTTTTGCCAGTGATATTTCCAACTCCTCATTGATGTTTGTTACTTATAAAATTTTCATGCAATTTTCCTTTTTCCTTCCAAAAAGCGGAAAAGGCCACTCACGAATTTAAAACTTTTTTGAATTAAAACGTTGAAAACGTTTTTTATTAAAATGTCATTAAACAAATACTTCAAACTTTCTGAGTTGCTTAAAAAGACTCTAACAACAACTGTTAAAAGAAATCTTGAGAAATAAGCTATTATTAGTGAAAATATGAATAAGTTTGTAAAAATCAATCAATGATACGCTTATGAAATATATCTTAGGAACGTTAAGACGTGGAGAGAAAATTCAGGGATCTTCAAGGCAGAATACATATCTCAAAATCTACTAATTCTATGTAAAAATTGATAAAAATCATTTTTGTAAGCAATTACCTAAGTTTCATTTTTTTATTCCAAGAAATATTTGGTAAATTGCATATTTTGGCATACATTTGCAAAAAACTAATTTTTGGTACATTTGGAATCATTTTTTCGGCCAAAGCTGGCCGGGCACGGTGTTAAATTTTTCCTCTAAAACTACTCCCTAAAAGGTACACAATCCGCCTAATAAGATCGAGGAATTACGCCGAGACTTGGGTCTTTTCGTGTTCTTATTTACCGGACTATATCGAATAATTGGAATAAAGATAAAAATAAATCAAATTGTAGATTGTATGCGAGTGTCATTTTATATTTTTATTTCCATAACGATTTCGTTGTTGTACTTATAATCTAAAATCTAGCTACATTTTCGATAGAAAATTTTGAGAAAGCTGGTTCTTTAATATATCTTTTGCTATGCTCTCCTGAACAGAGTGCGGACCGTTTGGCTGCCGATGCCGGTAGACGTTGCATTCACTACTGCTCATCACAGCACATTAGTCCTGTTTTTTCAGGAACTAAGAAGGCTAGGACAAACCTATGTGTAACATATTTAAATGATGGGTTCTTGAGTTCCGTTTTAAGTCGGTTTCAGCTTGCGAAACATTGTAATCGATCATATTGGTAATGAACAGCATTTAATAAGATAATATTCTAAAGCATGTAGTTAGACATTTTTATATTGCTGTCGCATCTTTTAAAATAACTGAATTTCAACCTCCTAAACATTGAGGTTATAGGGTATAATTATCATATTTTATATCCTCATTAAAATTTTCATTTTTTATGACCATCCTACTAAAATAGATCATTAAAGTAATTATTTTTATATGCACCAGTAACAGAATATAAGTATCTATGACAGATGTTGTGGTTAAATTTTTATTATACTTTAATAAAACAGGGTACTATTCTCGGAATTCTAAAATTTAAAATAGTTACAGACAGAAAAATATTGGCAATATGCCTAATACATGGCAATATCCCGGAAAACTTCAATAACATATTGTTTTCCGAAAAGATGATATACTGGGTGGTTCCTAACATATTTCCAATTTGACAATATTTCCAAATGTGAACTAGGATCTTCATGAAAAGGCGGAATACACTATGAGACTACGACACATACAAATCTTTAGTTACATTTCTACAATAGTTTTTAATAGACTTAAATTTTGATGCGTAGTACCAAGTGGTACGGTTAATTGTATGAAATTTTTGTGACGGACGGATAATAAAATTGTTAGATATTTTCTCAAACGCTTTCAGTTAATCTAAATGCTAACTAGGATGCCTTAAATTATACCTTATTTAATAGTCGAGACAAAACAATTTGAATGGATAACAATATAAGCGATTTTTGTTGTAAATCTCATTGTTTTTAAAACAGGATAATGGTTACAAGTAATAAATTTTGAACGCATGTCAGAAAACTTAGGCTGTATTCCGTTGCAAAACCAGGCGAACCAGACC